ATAGTTTGCTGGCACATAGTAGGCACTCAAAACAGACAGATTGAGTGAATGAGCAGAATTTCATCAGGGAGAGAGCACCTGATTTGCTGAGCTTGGGTCACATCTATGCACTTGGGAGGAGGAGGAGGCATGTGGCCGAATGCCCCACTTAAGTCACTGGTAATAGAAAGGAGAATGGACACTGGGCAGACAGAACCCAAGGTGATGCTCACTACAGGCAGTGGATTAAATGGGGGCTGGACTCAGATGGGGGAGGCTCGAGTCACAGCAGGGGACTGTCTCTTGGTCCAGTTAGCTCATCCCTGTCTGCTGATGTCTGGGAGGAAAAAAATTGCAGGAAGAAACTCAAAGGGCTGCCAACCTTCAAGGCCAGAGAACAGGAAGTTATTAGCTGGGCAAGGTCTACAAGTGAAGATGCAGAAAGGCTGAGCCAGTCCAGATGGCATCTGGGGAGAGGAGCCGTGCCAAACAAAGACAACATCCACAGACACATTTGATAATCAGGCACGCACATTCTTGAAGTGAACCTGAACACATTTGTCCCATGACAAACTTTCTGTGCTTCATAACAAATTGCTTTTTAAAGCCTAATGTTAAGGAAACCCTTTCAACTACTGTAAACCAGGCACCCAACCCCCGATGGGTAGGCAGGGATCTCTCTCTGGGCTCCAGCCCCAAGCCCTCTTGCTGTTCTTTTAACACAGCAACCTCATCTCTCTCGGGGCTTCTGCACTTGCTGTATCATCTGCACATAGTGCTCCCCCCTCGGTTTTCACTTGGTTGCTTCCTCATACTTTGCAAGGGTCACCTCCCCAATTTAAAGTAGCTGCTTCCAGTCAATCTGTTGTATTTCTAATATAGTACTTCACATTTTCTAAAATAATCTTATCTGTAAATGTCTCCCACTCCAGAGTATAAACCCCACCTGGGTGGGCACTGGCCTGTTTCACTTCTGCTTCATGCAGACTGAGACCAGCACCTGGTACCTTGTAAGTGCTTAGGGAATGTTTACTGAGTCATCCATATGTTTGTGGGATAACCTGATGTGGTAGTAGTGTACTGTCTTTTTTTCTTGCACTCAATTAGATTTGTCTTGCTGCTATTTTGAGTTTTGTATATATTAATTTTGAAAAGGATCTGTATTTTCTTCTGAAATCCCCCTCTAGTTACTGTCCTCTTATAATGAGTTGGAGTATCCTTTTTTTTTTTTTTTAATTCTCTGGAAGAGTCTGTATAAAGTAAAAAATTATATCTAGTCATTGAATGTTTGGTAGAACACTTTTTTTGATGCCCTTTGGGCCTGTAATTTTTCTTATGGGAAAGTTTTAAATGGCTGCTTCATTTCCTTAATAATTTATTAAAGACTATTGGGCTATTTCCTTTTGAGACGGTTATGGCAAGTTTTATTTCTTGAACTTGGACAATTTCATTTACATTTTTGAACTAAATTAAGTAAACTGGTTACTTCTGGAGGTTCTTGGGCTCTGTGATGAGTTCATGGATATGCATTATATTATTTAAAATCATGAAATAAAAAAGGGCTAATGACAACAGCATGTTTAAGATCAAGGATTGTGACTCATCCCTTTCTGTGCATTCAAGTTCCATTGAAAACTTCTGTTTGCTGAAAAGGAATGTTTGCTGAGAACAAGTACCTATCTTGGTGCCCCAGGACCGACGTTTCCCAAAAGTGAGCAGGTTTACTTGAATGGAAAAGTCCAGGCAACCTGTTTATGCCCAATGCAGACTATGGAAAGAGGTTCTGGAAGATCGCTCTGCCAAATCCCACAAGCTGGCATTGGGCCTACAGCACCTTCAAATTTGGGGGCTCCAATTTGTCCATGATTAGATAAAACCCACAGCACATTTCCAACAGCAGTTTCCTTTCCACATTATACGCAGCAAATAGACTGACACAGGAGCATCCTGGAAAAGACTGAATTGTCATCAACTCACCATCGAGCTAACTAAAGGACCACCCTGTGGTGTGACTGGTTATCTGCCAAGAAACTATTATGTGATTTAACCTGTCTGGGGCATTACCATGCTTAAAATGATAAAGAGGATTAAAATGAGGACTTTCCAAACAAAGGTGGGGAGAAAGGCATTATAAAGTTTTTGAATGTCATTAGTTGCAACAAAGTTTAGAATTAATAGTGACGTCATGAAAAGTGGTAAAATATTTGCAAGCAAAGGAGGGTGGAGATGCTAGAACCTGTAAATTTATGCCAGCTGAGCACTCACTGTGGGGGCGGCTGACAAATGGATTTACTATTTTGCCAACTCTACTGAAAGTGTTACAAAATTTCGACAAAATTATCTCTATGCAAACAATTGTTTAAAAAGTCTTTACATCAAATAACAATTCAAGGCTTTCTGAGTGACCACTACAAAGCCAAAGACTAAATTGAAAACGTTAGAAATGATTTTTCTTGGAAGCATGCTGAATACTAGATTGAGATTTTCTTCCCTCCCTAATGCCTTCTCACGTCCATCAATCCTTTAACCCTCCAATGTAACTTGTTTTTGAGAAGTAAATGGTAGAGGGAAGAGGCCCAGGGTTATTTCACACAGCCTGTGAAAGGAGGTGGGTGGGCCCAGAAATGGAAAGATAGGAAGTCACTCAATGAAATGCTTCCAACCTTCATTTGTAAACTGGGATTAGAAAGGTCTGTCTGTCCCTACTCATTCCCAGAGGAAATGCTACTTGAGTTATTTGCTGAAAAAGCTGCCTGTAAAATTCAAGCTCTACTCTCCCTCCCACAAGGCGCACAAACTCTGTTCTAGAAACAGCTCATCTGGACACTTTATCAGAATCACAAGGGAAAAAATGAGCTGAACTCTACTCACAGTATTTTTGATTTTTCTGGAGAATAGGGCTAAGTCGAATTTTTTGAACATGTTTCTAAGCTCAAAACCCAAGTGAGTTAAGTTCCAAGAGTCCTTGCACTCAGGAGGTTCTGTAAGACTCACGGAAAAATAAAGCCGCAAACAGCAACATTTAAATTTAGAAGGATCCTCTGGCTGAGAGAGGTTTCCGAAAATAGCACAGAGATAATTTTGTTGTTAGTTTGTCAAACTTCTAAAAACTCCATCAGGGGGCCAGGAGGCAACCAGACGTTTCCAGGAGCCCAGCGCTGTTTACTCGTGGCCCTGATTCTGGAGTGATTCAGCTGAGGCCTCAACTGGGGTTTCATTTTCTGTGCATCTAACACCCAATTACCTTTCAATTACTGGAGGCTATTATAATAGCCCCCCCCCACCCCTTTGACGGATAAAATTGTGGCTATGGCTTAGTCTTTGGAGGAGAGGAGAGGATGAGAGGGAGGAGACAAAAGTATTGAGAGAGAGTTCCTCACTTTCCAGTCTTTTCACTTTTTTTTTTTTTCTCAACCAGGTCTCCTCGGTGGCGCAGCGGGTTGAGGCGCTGCGCTATGGAGCTGTCCGTATCCTCGCAGCACAGGTTTGATTCCCAGCCAGCCAGGAAGATACCCACATGGCGCGGCAGACCTCTCCTGTCTCGCCTGCTGCTCCCCTCAGCAGTGTATTTCGGTCCTTCTGCCTGTTCTGTTCCCCACTCTGTCTCTGGTGAATCCTTTCACCCTCCCATGCCTCCGGCCTGTACCTCAGTTCTTGTGTAAAAATAAAAATAAATCTTTTAAAAAAAAGTACTTAGGGCCTCCCTGATGACACAAGGGGTTAAACACTGCACTATGAAGCAATCCACAGCCTCTGCAGCACGAGTTCGATCCCTGGCCGGCCAGGGAGAAACCCACATGGCGAGGCAGACCTCTCTGTCTCTCCCGCTGCTCCCCTGAGCTGTGTAATTCGGCCGTCTGCCTGTTCTGTTCCCCGCTGTCTCTGGTGGATCCTCCCACCCCCCAGCATCTCTGGCCTGTGCCCCAGCTCTTGTATAAAAACATAAATAAATGTCTTTAAAAAAAAAGTACTTAAACCAAACTCGACAATGACTTTCTACAACAAAAGTGTTTCCATTAAGTCACTAAATCGTCAAATCATCTGATTTCATCTTAAACCAAGAAGGTAAGTATTGAGATTTTACTGTCAATGACAACAGTAACTCGCGACCCCCATCACCCCAGTTCTGGAGGGCTCAGTCACACCCGAAGACACCGCATTAGGAGCGCTGATGGGGAAAGCATACTCGCCCGGTGTAAAACCGAAGCAGCCCCGTCCGTAGGTTAAGTAAAGCGGGGGGCAGACGCCCCGCCAGCGCACGCTCCTCCGGAAAACTGTAGCGTCTTCTTTGACCCGGGGGTCAGAATGATTTATTACTTCCCTGGGCGCGAGAAGCCTCAGGCCAGCTGGGAGCGGCGAACCGGGAGTCGGAAGCCTGCAAGCGGCGCTCGGCGTCTTTGCAGCCGCGGCGCATCCCGGTTCCCGGGAGGACCGGGTGGTGCCGACCCCGGGGGGAGAGCCTAGGGGGCCACCATGGGGGGATTTCTGCTTCAACTTTATCAAGAACTCTTTCCAAAATCTGCGCAGCTGAACCTGGCAGGGGCACGCAGAATCCAAGTTTCTGAGAGCTCAGGGGTCTGGAGCTGCCGAATCCCGGTCCGTACCCTGGTCCCCAGCGTGCTCCGAGCGCGCTTCGGACGAAGAGTTGCGGCCATCAGGGCGCGAACAGCGGCCCCGGCGGCGCCGCTGTAAAGCGGACCCCGCATCTCCAGCCCCCGGGCGGCGGCGGCCCGAGCCCCGCGCGGGAGGGGCGGGCGCGGGCCGGGGGAGGAGGAGGCTGGCGCGGCGAGGGGAGGAGCCGAGGCGACGGGCGGCGGCGCGCACCAACCCGGCGCGGGCTGGCAGGAGCCGCGCAGAGGCCGGCCCGAGCGCGCTGCAGCCGCCGGCGTAGGGGGGGTCGGGGAGCGGCATCCTCCCGGGCGCCGCTTTCGCACGGCGGTGGCGGCGGGGGCTTCCTCTGCCCCGATACCTCGTTGGCCATCGCCGCTGGCGCGGGGGGCGGGCGGGCCAGGGAACGCTGCGGACCGGGCGCCTGGGCCCAGAGCGGAGTGTGCCGGGTCTCTCCGAGCCGGTCGGAGGCGGCGGGGGCTGCCGGCTATGCCCGCCCGGGCATCCTCCGAGTGATGGAAAAAGAAGCTGTTGCCGCGGCCGCTGCAGCGGGGTCGTCCTGCGCCCCGTTGGCCGCCGCCGGAGAGATGGGGAGACTCGCGGCGCGGAGGCCGGGAGCGAGAGAGGCGGAGCTGCTTCGCCGGGAGCTGGGTCCCGTATGACCCCCTCCCCCCTAGCCTGCTTGGCCCCCTGCGCTCGGAAGGAAGCTGCGGTCCCGAGAGGGCGGAGGAGACGCCGCTGGACCCGGGCGCAGCGGGCTCCGCGGAGTGGAGAGCGGGGCCCCGGGCCGGGTGAAAGTTTCCCTTCCCGAACGCCAGGGCGCTCGCTGCCCGGAAACTCTGCGCAGGGCTTGGACTGCCGAGCCCATCGGCCCCCGCGGAGGCCCGGGGACCCCCGGCGGGAGAGAGCGCCCCAGAAGTCGAGGAACCAGTGACCGTCGGTCAGCAAGCCGGGCGGCGGTCTCTGGTGGTTCCGGGCGCGCCGGCGGCTGCGGGTGAGCGGGGGAGCCTGGCAGATCCAAGGGAGGGTGTTACTGGGTGGAGGAGGAGTCTGGGGAGGAGTCCGGGGTGGAGGATTGGGGTGCACCCGTTCACTCCGCTTTTTCTCGCAGGTCCTTCCCGGAGCCGCTGCCATGGGAGAGCCAGCCCTGGGCGCCGGGGACCAGCCGCCGCTGCTGCCGCGCCCGCCTCGGAGCTGCGGCCCCAGTCCCCGCGCCCGAAGCCGGCCCGCTGCGTCCCCCTCCCGGGCTGCAGGGCCGCCTCCGCCGCGCCGCCGGCCCGGGCTGAGCCTGTGATGAGCCGCAGCCCGCCGCGAGCCCTGCCCCCGGGCGCGCCCCCCCGGCTGCTCCCGGCCGCGCCCGCCGCCGCTCCGCGCGCCCTCCTCTCGCGGTGGCCCCGGCGCCCGGGCCGCCGCTGGCCCGCGTCGCCGCTCGGAATGAAGGTGTTCCGCAGGAAGGCGCTGGTTCTGTGCGCGGGCTACGCGCTGCTGCTGGTGCTCACCATGCTCAATCTCCTGGACTACAAGTGGCACAAGGAACCGCTGCAGCAGTGCAGCCCGGACGGGCCGCTGGGTGCCGCGGTGGGGGCGGCTGGGGGCGGCTGGGGGCGCCCGGGGCCTCCCCCAGCGGGTCCGCCCCGCGCGCACGCTCGCTTGGACCCCCGGACCCCTTACCGCCCTCCCGTTGCCGCCGTCGGGGCGGCCAAAGCAGCAGCGGCGGGGTTGGCGGGGGCCGCAGCCCCTCCGAGCAATGGCACGGGAGGCGCAGCGGGCGGCGGGGACAAGCGTCAGTTGGTGTACGTGTTCACCACGTGGCGCTCGGGCTCGTCCTTCTTTGGGGAGCTCTTCAACCAGAACCCCGAGGTATTCTTCCTCTACGAACCCGTGTGGCACGTGTGGCAGAAACTGTACCCGGGGGACGCCGTTTCCCTGCAAGGTGCGGCGCGGGACATGCTGAGCGCGCTCTATCGCTGCGACCTTTCCGTCTTCCAGTTGTACAGCCCCGCGGGCAGCGGGGGGCGCAACCTCACCACGCTGGGCATTTTTGGCGCGGCCACTAACAAGGTGGTGTGCTCCTTTCCTCTCTGCCCTGCCTACCGCAAGGAGGTCGTGGGGCTGGTGGACGACCGCGTGTGCAAGAAGTGCCCGCCGCAGCGCCTGGCGCGCTTTGAGGAGGAGTGCCGCAAGTACCGCACGCTGGTCATCAAGGGCGTGCGGGTCTTCGACGTGGCGGTGTTGGCGCCACTGCTACGAGACCCTACCCTGGACCTCAAGGTCATTCACTTGGTGCGCGACCCCCGTGCTGTGGCCAGCTCTCGCATCCGCTCGCGCCACGGTCTCATCCGTGAGAGCCTGCAAGTAGTGCGCAGCCGGGACCCTCGAGCCCACCGCATGCCCTTCTTGGAGGCCGCTGGTCATAAACTGGGCGCCAAGAAGGAGGGCGTGGGTGGCCCTGCAGACTATCATGCGCTCGGCGCCATGGAGGTCATCTGCAATAGCATGGCCAAGACCCTGCAGACGGCCCTGCAGCCCCCTGACTGGCTGCAAGGCCACTACCTGGTGGTGCGGTACGAGGACCTGGTGGGAGACCCAGTCAAGACCCTACGGAGGGTATACGACTTTGTGGGACTGCTGGTGAGCCCTGAAATGGAGCAGTTTGCCCTCAACATGACTAGTGGCTCCGGCTCCTCATCTAAACCTTTCGTGGTGTCGGCACGCAATGCCACGCAAGCCGCCAACGCCTGGCGGACCGCCCTTACCTTCCAGCAGATCAAACAGGTGGAGGAATTTTGCTACCAGCCCATGGCTGTGCTGGGCTACGAGCGGGTCAGCAGCCCAGAGGAGGTCAAAGACCTCAGCAAGACCCTGCTCCGGAAACCCCGGCTCTGAAGGGGGTAGGGTCCCAGGGGAAAACCTGACTTCCTGGGGAGACACTCGGAGGAAGAGTGTGGTGTGTTTAGACAAAAACAGCCCAGACCCAAGCTGAGGAAGCCCACATATTCTATCATAGATACATAATATAAATAACCACGCAGGCACTTGCCGTCAGTGTTTTGAGTCATTGAATTTCAAGGAACAGCCACAACACACATCTCAGAAAAGGCGAGACTTGAAAGTTCTGACCAGCTGCCCTTCCTCTCCTCGTTCTCTCGTCTCCTTCATCCCACTTCTTACCCTCTCCCCTACCAGCCTTCCACTTTGAAGTGGGATGTTGATTAAATCAAGATCCAGTAACCCAAATCTTGTTTACAAAATTTTCGTGGTTATCTGTGAACATGTAAAAGAGCAATTTGGATGTGGGGGGTGGGGTGGAGAGGGGAAAGCCCAGCTGCGAAAAGTCCCATTGGGCTGATAAAGCAAGGAGGCAGTCTTCTCAAGTAGACTTGTGTAAAGAGCGAAGGCTATATGTGAGTATTAATAAAGAAGATAATAAATAATATTCTTTTTTATATTTGCCTCCATTACTTTGGATTTACCAGTGTTGCTTGGCCTGTGTAGTTTCAGTATCTGCTCTCCTCAAGGCCTTTTCCAGTCTGTTCTTAGAGAAAAAGCTAACATGGATGGGAGCAGCTTCTGACTCCTTGATAAGAACCTGGGAGTTGTTCTCTCACATGTAAATCACAGCCTGTCAGGTGCCCAGGAGTGGGAACCAACCTTCAGATTTTAAAGGCAAAAGCTAAACAGGGAAGGGGAGGGAAAAAAAATCACATACCACTTTCCTGTTCAAATTTGGGCAGGCAAAGGAAGAAGCAGCCCCTGGAGAATCTGAAGGCATTTGGTTTTTTGATTGTTACTAGGTAAAGGTGGGGAACCTTGAAGCAGAGACTAATGTTCTGGTCCGGAAGTTAGTTCAGAAAAAGAGTTTTTAAAAGACAGGCATGTCATTAAAAGTATGTAATTTAAAAAGTGATGAGAACACAAACTTCAAACTTCTGTGATTATATTGTTGGCAATGATAGCAACTTTCTGTTAGAAAAGTGTGTGTATGTATATGTATACATGTTTGCAGTGTTTTTCTGCGTCTGACACAGTGCAGGGAGGCATATGAAAAGGGAAGTTTTATCTGAGAACTAAAAAGGCACTCACAGACTTTTCCTCCTCACGCTTCCCAGCTGAGTTAGTGCAAGAGAATGTGAATTTATACTGGTCTGCTTGGGATGCCCATGGGATATTTTTATTTACATTGCTTTACTTGATGGTGTTTTCTAAAAGTAAATTTACAAGAAATGATAACATGCTATGGACAGTAAAAGAGCTCCTTTTAGATATGAAAATGAGTTACTGGGGAAAGGAAACGAAAGTGATTGATGAGTTAGTGTTGGATGTTGAGATTTGGTGTTTTCTGGGGAGAAAAATCACAGCATTTTCCTGCGTGGGAATGGCATTGCTGCTGTCCTGAGCCCATTTGTAAGGAAGCAATCCTCAGAATGTCTGGGTACAGTAGGTCATGAAGCCTAAAAAGGAGCAAGAGACAGTGTAGTTACATATTACATTAAACACGGTACAAATAAATATCATGGCTTTATTTCACTGTAATTTATTGTGAGAGCTCTTAGGCCAACCTGTACAGGTTAAATGCTGAGGATTTTATCTTAGGGAAAAAAATGGAAAATAATATGTACCTGGGGAATATTTCAACACAAGATGTTTCGTAAGTATAATTTTAATTGCAATGTGAAATCTGCACTGTAAAGTATTCCAAAATAAAGAAGCACAGAGGTTAAAAAAATGTATTTAGCAGTGGATTTTATAATATTCTAGAATGTTATTTCTTGATTTAATAAAATAGTTTTATGATATGTTGTTATTAAGTCAGGCTACAGCTATCGCACATTGATCAAGCTTTCTGTGATATTTTAATAATAGTGCCTCTGCTGAATTATCTTTAGCAGCAGAAGAATATTTGTAATAGTTTTAATTGAGACATACTTTAAAATTAAATGAGCAAAGTAAATATTAATATTGGATGACTATAGATGAAACAGGTTTAATAGGAATTGAGACATCATTAAAAAGCAACCACTCTGAATAAAATAACCATATAAAAACAAATTTCATGTGGCATTAAAAACAAATTTCTTGTAACATTAGAAGCAGCTCTTATCACTTAATCATAATAAAACTTATGCTTGGTTTTTGAATGAAGGCTTCTTAAGCAGTTGAATTCATTTTCTCAGTCTAAGAAAATGCATTCATTTTTGGAATGTATGCGTTCATTTTTTGCATAAAAATGAAATGTTTTGGATCCTGTATTTATAAAAAATTATTAATGCTGCGTACAGACAATCCATGGTCTCTGCTCTGATGAAATTTTTTAGCTAAACGCCAGCACATCTCTCCTAGCTGTCTTGGATGGGGTTTTCTGCTGGTAATTCCCTTGTTTTGTAGCAGCTGCATTCTCTCCACCCTGCCACTCCTGGGCTTTGTAATTTGAAAAGGTGAACGCTGGCTCCTGGAGATTTGCACCTTGCTGCATTCTAGGAAAGTGAGACAGGTGTTGTTCCCGTTAAAGGCCAAGACAGTCATCTCAGTGATATTCCACTTCTGCAGGTTTGGGGAGAGAAGCTTTTGTGTGTGTGTGTTAATAGACTGCTGTCAGCCTCTGGTACAAACAGACCTAGGCCGCAACAAATTGCAACAGAACCTGTGGCCCTTTCTGAGGTTGCAAATGCAGAAGAGAATCACATTTTCCAATTTGGCAATATGTCCATCAGCAGAGGAGACATTCTTCAGAGCAGCTTATCAGAGTGAATTTTATTTTCTAATTCTGCCCCACTGATACAGCACACCTGATCCCCATCCCTCCCTCCCCCCCCCTTCCCCCCACCCCTCACTATGGAAAACCTTTGCTAATTAGAAAGCACTCTTTATCAAACGAGTCTACTCAGTGCGTTTTGTCAACAAGTCTGCTTTTGGAACAAGGCAGTGGCACAGGCTGTGTGCTTGAGTTTCAGTGCGCTCGGAGGCACTGAAAGGCTTCATTCAGACCGACCTGTGGGTACCTTGCCTGCCGACGCTGGGGCAAATCCTGTTCTATTTGGTGTCCAGTACATAGATAAATATTGGCTAAATAAAGGTAGGAGATATGTAACTATATATTAGCTATATATAGTTTGAAAGTGCTCAGAAGAGAAAGAGGGGAAGAATGTGTTACCTGTTTGGAAAAAGTGCCAGCTGGTCACTGTGTCAAGACTTACAAGGTACCGTGTAGAGACCGACATTTCCCTCTGATAAATTGCAGGCAAAAATTCAGAATTTTTATTTCTGAATGTGGAGAGGTAATAGTTTCCAAATGAGGAATTCAATTTTTATTTTTGTTTCCCCAACTGATTTAACAAAAATGAAGGCAAGGATCAGAACATGCTTCCAGAACAAATGGTGGTCTGGTGCCTAAAAGAGGACTATAAAAGTTTACACAATCAGTGTGAGATATATTATATAGATATAATATATATAATTATTACTACTATTACTATTTATTTTGGGTGCTGTGTCTGCGCAGGTTGAAAGACCGAGAAGTGCATTTCACCCTGGCATCGAAATAGTTACTTCCAGAAGGTTGTCTTATTTTGGGTGCTGAATGAGACAATAGCTGCCCACTCCCTTGCATTCCCTGCCTGGCCATGGTCGAGTTCATCCAAGGCTTCTGTTGCACACAATAAAGTTGTGGATAGATTGTGTTGTTGGCTTGAAATTAATATGAAGCTGAGTGAGGCCGCTAAATTAATATTCTCTGGGTCTGAGCAATGAAATAAACATCATGTTTAGAACTTATCTAGAGATGAATTCAGAAGACCAATAGGGAAATAAAAATGCTGACTGAACCTTACCTGTAGTTGTGAAAAAGGATGAGTGTCACTTTGCCACCTTCCCCCAACTTTCTTCCCTGCTGATGCAAAATACGCTTGTGCACCAGCACACACAATTAAGTTTCTGCATTGTTTTAAGGTCTGAAAAAGAGAATGTTTTAATATAAGCTAACGGGTATGTGGGAGGGACATTTTTGCTCTTGGGCCTCTGGAGAGCTGGTGGTCAGTTACTTGATCAGAACCTGTGACAGTCTTGTGTCAGTATCCAATGTGGACAGGAAGAAAATGACATCGCAATTTGGTGAATGGTTTGAGGTATTGGATGGAATGTCCTGAGGTAAATGCACAGTTTACCCCTTTTGTCACTTACCTTGAGAAGAGTCCTTTCAAATCTGTCACAGCTGAGACAGTAATCTGTTCCCACACTTTTCGTCCTTTCTGGGCATCCCAGCTGCTGCATTTGCAGTTCAAGTACAAGCCACTGGGCTGCTTGGGTACAAGCTCCAGTACAAGTGTTTAATAATTGAAATTACAGGGCTTGACTTTTATTACATCTGATGCAATTCTGCCTATCCTTAATCAAATTATGCTACGGAAATTGTTAAATTCTGCATAACACATTAAGTTTATAGAATAGGAAACTTTATGAACCAGTGTTTGGGGGTGTATTGTTTATAAACTTAAAGGAGGCTTGAAGAAGCAGGAGCTTGCTGTGCACTTGGCAGAATGACAAAGGATGACCTAGACCAAAGCTTAATTTTGGGTTGAACCAGTGACTTGTAATAAGATGTCGAAAGTGTTTCAGGGTGCTTAAATTTTTAGGTTTGTGACAATCACCCTGGTAAGTGAATGCCAGTGAAATGATCACTGTCATCAACAACTACACAAGGAACCAATCAGGGATGGCTCCTATCCAGTCTCTAGAGAGGGCTCTGTAGAAACTCACCTGGAAGCAGTTAGTCCTCTAGATAGGACCAGCTTCATAATTTGCAGGACTCTGTGCAAGATGAAAATACAGGAATCCTTGTTAAAAAATTACTAACTTTTCAGTTTGGTAACTACATGGAATTAAGCCTCAGAGTATGGGCCCCACAAACTGTGCAGGCTGAATGCTGTGAAACTGTCCTATGTTCAGACGCAGAGTCTGAAATGCCCAGCACCACATAAGAGTAAGTAATGGAGACCTGCAAGTTCCTGCAAAATGGGTGCAAAGGTGTGAGTTACTGTGTTTAACTGTAATTAAAACAAAGACAAGTGCACTTAGGTGTACAAGTGACAGAATTGTCAGGATGTGCGTGCACACAGGACAACCCTTGGTAACAGCAGAAATGATCGACAATGAGACGCAGCCCACCATGAGCCCTGCCCCCTGGCGCAAACCTCCCACAGCTCCCCAATCCCCAGGCTGCTCCCGTGCTGTGCCTGCTACCGCATCATGGGTTGAACTTAAGAACACTCTGGGCTGACCCTGCTTAGGACTGAGACCCCTGTGCTATTGCTGGCATCCCTACAAGACAGTTCAGATGTCTCCCATGAGGATGGAGAGTTTGATTTCCTTATCCTTAGTATGTGGACACTGGCAAGTTCTGCTAATTATGTTTCCTTCCTTCTGAATCTACTGTGGGGAC